CAGTGGTGGCTGGATTAGATATTAACTGTGGCCTAAATCACTTTGTGCTGACGGATTTGGAAAGTGATAATCCAAGGTGTGCCTTTTAAAAGCCAGAGCTGTGGCCACCTGGGTCCATTTGTAGCAGGGTCCCTCTCCATCACTCTCCTGAGCAGCCAGAAGACACACCACCGAAGGGCTGATCGCAACCGCAAGCCGCAACCATGAACGGCACAGAGGGACCATATTTCTACGTCCCTATGGTTAACACCACCGGCATTGTCCGGAGTCCTTATGAATACCCTCAGTACTACCTTGTCAACCCAGCAGCTTATGCTGCCCTGGGTGCCTACATGTTCCTGCTCATCCTTCTTGGCTTCCCCATCAACTTCCTCACTCTCTACGTTACCATCGACCACAAGAAGCTGCGAACCCCTCTAAACTACATCCTGCTGAACCTTGCGGTGGCTAACCTCTTCATGGTGTTTGGAGGATTCACCACAACGATGTACACCTCTATGCACGGCTACTTCGTCCTTGGGCGTCTTGGCTGCAATCTGGAAGGATTCTTTGCTACCCTTGGCGGTGAGATTGCCCTCTGGTCACTGGTTGTTCTGGCTATTGAAAGGTGGGTGGTCGTCTGCAAGCCCATTGCCAACTTCCGCTTTGGAGAGAATCATGCTATCATGGGATTGAGCTTAACCTGGTTTATGGCCAGTGCTTGCGCCGTTCCCCCTCTTGTTGGCTGGTCTCGTTACATCCCCGAAGGCATGCAGTGCTCATGTGGAGTTGACTACTACACACGTGCAGAAGGTTTCAACAATGAGTCCTTCGTCATCTACATGTTCTGCTGCCACTTCTGCGTCCCACTGACTATCGTGTTCTTCTGCTATGGCCGTCTGCTCTGTGCTGTCAAGGAGGCTGCTGCTGCCCAGCAGGAGTCTGAGACCACCCAGAGGGCTGAGAGGGAAGTCACCCGCATGGTCGTAATCATGGTCATCGCCTTCCTGGTATGTTGGTGCCCCTATGCAGGTGTGGCCTGGTTTATCTTCACACATCAGGGCTCTGAATTCGGACCAGTCTTCATGACCATCCCCGCCTTCTTTGCCAAGAGTTCCGCCATCTACAATCCAATGATCTACATCTGCATGAACAAGCAGTTCCGCCACTGCATGATCACCACCTTGTGCTGCGGGAAGAATCCCTTCGAGGAGGAGGAGGGAGCATCCAGTACTGCCTCCAAAACTGAGGCCTCCTCTGTCTCCTCCAGCTCTGTGTCTCCTGCATAAAAGGGCCGTCAACAAAGGCTCCATGATCCACTATCCAAGAAGAAGACTTCTGCTCCCCCCGGGAAACGACTGAAGGCTAATGTCTACAGAAATTACTTCCTTTTTGTATTTTTACAAATGAGTTGATTCAACCTAAAGACAGTTGCAGGAAAGGTCAGCCCATTACAGAGTTGTTCCTGTATGTACAGAATATCCAACTTAACAATCTTGAGATTCTTTTTCTTCCTGAGAGAAAAGGGGAAAAATTTTATCTTTTACAGTTGGATCCTATATGATATTGGCTTATTTTTGAATGTAGAGGCATGTAATCAAGGCAACGTAAAATAAAACGCACTTTGCAAATGACTCATCCTGTTTATGTTTTACTTACAATTTGGGAGGCAAAGTTCATATGACTGTAGTTTATTTAATCAAATGAATAAATGTGAATGACCTATTCAGAATGCATTTATGTCTCGAGTCACTTTCTACTTTTGAGATATTACTGTAGTGACTACTGCTCTTCTACTGCAGAACTTGATGGTACAGAGACTTAAAACGGCACAAAAAACTTATGTTGAACAAGTCCGAGTTTCTTTCATAGCAGTATCTACATCGCTACTGTAATCTCATTTCAATCAGAGGTCACCTTGGACTTAGAGCTTGGCCTAGCAATGAGATTATGACTTTATTAATCAGGGACAAATATACACATGACACAACACTCTTTATCTTATGACGAATATTAATCACATTAATTAAAGGTCAACACAGACAAAGACTTATTGGATAAAACAAATCTGTATTACTGAGAGACACCTTGATCTAAAGGTTATGTAATGTAACCAATTAGTCCTTAGCTGCCATTACTACTTCTATCATATCACACACAAACCATATAGTCCCATAGAAGAATCAGTAATATATAGCATATAAACCTAATACACTATAATGTAGTTGGAAGCGTTTATTAATATAGATTTGTAAACAATTATAACATGATAATGAATGACAGTTGTAAAACACAGTTGTGATAACATAAACTGTTTTCATAGGAGAAGTTATAATTGCTGACAAATACTGTGAATTAATATGTACTTAAAAATTTCCTGAAAGCTGTCTACCACTACATTATAATGGGTTATAAATGATTTATACATTTTCTATACGGCCTATAAATGCTTAATAGGGCAACTTGAAGTATTACCCAAGGATTTCATTGAAAGAATCATTGGGAGAATTAATAACTGAATAACATTTATCAACAGATTAAAAATAGTTCTCTTTTCAGCTGTCATAACCTAGAAAACAAGCGATGTTGATCAAATGTTTTCTTTTATAATACACCAATACTCTTTAGTGACTTCTACATTACTAAGAGGGGAAAGATACTACAGTTATCGATGAGGTAGTTCATCAATAAGTATATACCCGTTTGAGGTCTAATCAGGTTTATAACATTATTGTTTTAGTAGAATGCTAAGAGGGCAGCATGGTGGTGCAGTGGTAAGCACTGTCACCTCATAGCAAGAGGAAGGCTGTTGGCTGGCCTTTCTGTGCAGAGTTTACATGTTATCCCGGTTCCTGCGTGGGTTCCCCCTTGGGTACTCCGGTTGCCTCCCACATCCCATAGACATGCAGTTTCAGTTAACTGGTGGCTTTAAATTGCCTGTAGGTGTGAATGTGAGCAGATATGGTTGTTTGTCTGTCTCTATATGTCAGCCCTCTGATAGACTACTGACCTGTCCAGGGTGTACCCTCCCTCCCCCACCTGTGACCCTCAAAAGGATAAGCAGTATAGCTGATTGATGGATGGACAGAATGTTAAGTTCTCAAAGGCTGGACTCTGGATGAATTGAACCGGTATGACAAGAGATAGAAAGTGATGACGTGAGTCCGCCTCCTCAGTTCTAAGTTGTGCTTTATGCCAGACTGAGGAAAAACAAATACCTCCACATCTCTCACATAATGACCTTCGTGCATAGCTATGGCAACCATTATACTAGTGGAGCGGTCTGAGCACCAAGCAGTCTGAACTCCAGCTCTAGCTTAGAGCTTAAGAAAAGAAAAAAAAATCAATCACTCGCTGCTTTGATTTAGAACCAAAATCATTGCAGAATTATACGCAAAGATTTTGATTAAGGTATTTGACAGATGGCAATCTAAAAGTTTTTCTTCACACAGAAAAAAGTAAATAGATACCAGTGATAAGAAGTTTAGAGGAGTCCAATAGACAATACAAAATAAGCCCTGTAAAAGTATTTTGTAAGTATATTGTACCATTAGAGGTGACAGTCAGTCATCAGTGGTGTTATTACTGTTATTGTAGCACTTTCAATTAAAAAAAAAAACATGAATTGTGCTTGCTTCTGTCGTTTCACTGAGGATAATGATGAAGGGAGGCAGTAGTGCTTGTACTAATATACCTTTGTGTTGTACAAATAAGATGAAATACCTTTTCAAAGTAGACAAGGAAGGCAGTACAGCTGACAGCCCATACTGCTGACTTCTCATGTTACTTTTAAATTTAGTAAAAGTCTCTAAAGCTGCATATTAAAACATAGCGTGACCATGACTGACACACCAGAGTGATTTCATAAAAAAGAGTGAACAGTCAAAAGCCTCTCTTGAGACATTACTGAAAAACCGCTGTGCAGAAATATGAAATCCTTTTGAATTTGTATGGAAAACTTTATTTGATAATAAAAATAGCATTCACAGACTTCTTTTGATAGCTACATATACATTGTAATCCATCTCAAGGAAAGAAGCTGGATAAGTCCACATCTACTTGTACTTAGACTAATGTTATGTATAGCTTCATGGGTCAAATAAAGCTATGAACAATGTAGTATTTATATATGCATAGTTTTATAAAAAAGATTGGCCCATATACATGTACTGCTTTTATCAACACAGAGACAGCATTATGTCCGGAGCACATTGCAAGACATAATGCTTGAAGAACACAGACTGCATACAAGTGCTTTATAATACAAAGGCAGGCTAACCATCGAGAGAGATTCAAACCATCAAACAGTTTCTGATTGACCAAATACAGTCTTTCATTTTAAAATGTCTTTACATACCTGATCCAGAGTAAATCAACATATTTCCCATAAATCATCAGGTCCATTTCAGAGATATAAACACAATATCACATTCCTCACTGCTGAGGTTTTTCATAAATTTCTCTTTTGTACAAGAAAAAGGCAACATTTTATTCCTTGACAGGTTCCTAATAGTTACATTGGAAAAATTCTTTACAGGTGATGGCCAACAGGTTAACTTCTTAAATGTGTTTCTTTTTTTTTTCTTCTTTTTTGTTAAATACAGTACCATGGCGACAACAGTGATCAAACAATGCATTTGTTGTGGTTTATCCAATATATTTTTAGTTCTTTAATGAAACATAAAACAGAGAATACACACAAAACACATTATAAAGCAGCAGTCAGACTCCAGTGGCATGACAGCATGGCTCAGCATGGCAGATTGGTCGTCTCCTGTACCAGGACTCTCCATATGTTACCAACACAACAAATCACATCAGCTCTTTGTGTCAGGACCCAGGAGGTGGTCGGTGCGCAAATCATCATCATGAGGACAGGGCTAACAATTACTGTGGGAATACAGCGCATGTTCCTTATCGATTATTCTCACTCAGATCTATCAGATAAAGTGGTTAAACTACACTTTAATTTACACATGCATCTTGCACAGGGATAATTTACACGTTTGTTTGTTTTAAACTTTTTTTTTTTTTAACTTCTTTTTTTGGCATATCTGAAAAATCATATTTTATGGCAACTTTAAGCTGGTGTTGTGGCATAATGCAGACTCATCTAAAGTACGTAATTGAAATTTAGATGAGCAACAAATTTAGATAACTCCCATTTTCCCACAACAGAGAGTCTACTGGATCAATTTTGCCTGTAGATGAAAGTGAGTCAGGTTCCTTCCCAGCTACATCAGTACACACTAAGGAACAAAGGGCCAGAGTATTGAAGTTATTTTATAATCCTACTCAAAGGGAGAAACTAATAACCCCATTGCCAATTTTCACACCAGTTGTCTGATTCCTTTCTTAATTTCAGAGGTGGGTTGAGTGTATTTAGGCAAAGGGCGGTGAGCTGCCACACATTTCATCGATGCAACACAAGTAAGGGTACAGCATGCTTTCCCAGGTACAGTGTGCACTTCTACCTTGGTCCTTAAAGGTTTTACGAAGCTTGCTCAAGATTATGTGCCAAATTAAAAAATAAATAGTGAGCAAAAAAGTCATATATTATTTATATAATCATCACTCTAGTTTTACCATCAGATTTTAAATTTAGATTTTTGCCTTAAGTCCAACGTGATTTTCACAGTTCTTGTGAACCATCAGTGTCTTGTGCTATAGTTTGTTCAGTAAAGCGATTCAGGAATGGAAAAGACATCTAAAAACAAGTTGAAAACAAGCTTAGTAGTTAGTTAGAAGTTACCACAACTGGAAGCATGTTTCATACCTCTGAGGGAACAAATATTTAGATTCAGCAATGCCTACAAAAAGCAATATCACTGATTTCATATGCAGGCACATACAATACCTTTTACTATAGTACAACAACCTCTGTTATGTTCAAAATAACTATAACAATGACAAAACAACCAGTATGAACTGATAGAAGGATTGTACTCCTGCTGTTTTATCAATCTCTGGCTGGGATCACAAGTAGTTAAGTCAATCAAATCAATCAATACACCAGTTGACCAAATAAAGCACAAGAGTTAGTATCCTCAGAAGTCCAATTCCAGTGTATGGTACATACTGTAGTTTGCACAGATAGAGGAGAGAGTGGCGAGGGGGATCTCTGCTCTGCTCTAGATGCTGAGGTCTTTGGGGCTTTCTTTGTACAGCCTTCTTTTGGGCTCAGGGAGCTGGTTTGGGCTGCGACCTACTGTGTTATTGTTATGGCCTGTGTTGTTGTAGGCAGCATTGTTGTGTGCAGCGTTGTTCTTCATCATGTTGTAATATTCCTTCAGTCTGGGTGCTGCTGCATAGTTCAGCTCGTCCCGGCTGTAGGTGCTGTCAGGGGAAGAGTCCCGCTCCACTCTGTATCGTCTCTCCGGTGTCCCGTTCAGCCGATATCTCTCCTCCGTCCTCTCTGAGGAAGAGTCTCTCAGGAGGTTTCCGTTCTTCGTGGCTCTATCACAAGTACGGCCCCTGGAAAGAGACAAGGAATCTCCGTTGTTGTTGGTGCGCTCAGGGGTTGTGGTCTCCCTGACTCGCCCAGCCATCTGTGAGTCCTTGAGGAGCCTCCGCTCATAGAACTTGCGTTCAGGAGTGACTGCGAGGAACCCTCCATCATCGTACTCCCTCTCAGGTGTATGGTCCCGATGTGCTCGCTCTGCCCTGCGGTCCATCGACTTGGCCCGCCGGCGATCAGGAGATGAGGCGCGCTTTCGGGTTGGTGAGCGGTCAAGGGAGCCGCGTCGCTGCGGACGAAACCTCCCGTCCAAAGTAGAACTGCTGCTTGAGAGCTCTCGTCCCCTCAGTTTCTCAGCAGCTGCAGCCTTCTTCCCCGAGCTGTCTTTCCTCAGAGTCTTTAGGAGTTTAGAGATGCCGCTCTCCGACTCTGACTTCTTGACTTTGCGGCCTCGGCTCTTCTTGTTGCCACTGCTACTGCTGATACTGTTGTCTGGAGACTGCTGTCTGGGGGTACTTTGACTGTGATTGTTATTCCAAGTGTGATGATGGTGGGGGTTAAATTGCCGGCCTTGGTAGTCCATCTGATCTGACCCAGCCCTGTCCCTGTCCCTGTCTCGGCCACGCGCAGCCTCCTCCTGGCGTGATGGTTTGTGAAGGTCTGGTGGATAACTGGACTCCAATGAGGTGTGATATCGGCTGTTGGGTGGCAGCGTTCTCACTTCCGGAGTGTTTTGTGCCCCGGGTGTGGGAGGGTGCCTGTCACTGCTGCCGTCTGCAGGAGAAAAGAAAGGAGGAGAAGCTTGTTGACTAGAAATACCTCATAAGAATCGGCGGTTGAGGAAAAGTTTAACATCAATGACGTGATATTTATTGTGTTCAGCAGACATGACCTTCCTTGTTGGTTCATGTGAGCTCTTGCATTGACGTGACAGCAGGTCAATGCAGAGATTTATGGAAATCATGCATACATGTGCTCTTTCATATGCTGCATATATCCCCAGAAACACATCTAAATTGATTCTGTTTAACATCTATACACATAAATTGCATTGAAGTGATAAATCACTTCAATATATTTTCTCTACAGGGCTGCAGGTGATAACAAGGTGATGTCAGCAACAACAGCAGGTGCAACACATCGGCAAGTGTAGGGCAGGGGTTATCAATGACACAGCAGGCACCTAGGAAATCATTCAAAACAAAATGGTGAACAACTCAGTGTGCATCATTGGGAAGAACAAACCAAAAGCAAAAAAACAATAAAAACAAAAACAAGAGTTTGTTTGGCTGCAGGTCTGTCAAATTAGAGACAGGTTTCTATGGCAGCGGCATGTGATGAGCAGTGGCATTATATTAGTCCCATAAAAAATATGTGTTCTGACGCTGGCAGAAGGGGAAGGATTTGTTCGTGTACGGATTCACAAAAGTTAAACAAGTAAGTTCAAATTCAGGCATGGCAAGACATAAAGCAAGTACACTACGTAAACACACCCAACGCGCAGACACACCAAGTGGGATGCAGGTAGGGATGAGCTGGAAGGAAGGGTGGATAGAACCGAAAGGACAAAGATGACAGGGAGAGTGGATTGGGACAGACTTTTGGCTACAAACCGTGGTCTGATTTTGGCCCATTAGGTAGAAACAGGGCTCTCCCATCTTGTCATTCCTCATTGTACCAACAGCGAGATGAGGAGCCATCATCGCTGGAGAGAGGAGGAAGAGCCCAGCAACAAGAGACAATCAGAGAGAAAGAAGTAGGAATAGAGAGGAGAAGACAAATAAAACAGACAAGAGGCTGTTTTACAGTGCATCTTAATAGAGAGAAGGTGTTTGTTGTGAAAGGCAAGAAAACATTGCACTTTATATAATAACAAAAAAACCCATCTGAGAGGTGGAAAAGTGTCAGAAAATTAAACCCAGGATAAACCAGAAAATAATGCTGAGCAATACAACAATATGACTCAAACTGTGAGCGGAATAATCTCTCAGCAGAGCATGCAGCTCTTGGGAGGGAATATAACTATAGAACCAATCGAGTAAAAATCACTGAACAAGCTTTTGTGGCAGCCGTTCCTTTATTGATCAGTAATATCTGAGAGTTCAATCTAGTGCTGAAACCCTGACAGGCAGTTAAATTAAATTAACGGATCAGAAAGTGTGTCTGTTAAATGTTTATCATTTGCAGTAATAACATTCATGATAATCAGTTAAAAAATGAAAATATGTCCCGGTGGTGCACTAAGCAGATAAGAAGCTTAATTCTAGTCTGCAGTGTGTACAGCTGCATCAATAATAAGATTTCAATGCTGGCATTAGCAGTTTATTTGCAGGAAGAGGAGAAAAACATTTGCAACATGTTTACCTACCATATTCAGGTACAGATCCATCTCCCCGTTTGAGGACCAGCCGCGCCCTCCGACCACCGTTCTTGATCAGTTCAATGGCACGTGAATGCTTCATGTTCTTTGTGCTCTCACCATTAATCTCCAGGATCTCATCTCCCACCTAAAAGAAGAGAGGCTAGGTTATCTCTCAAGCTAATAATGATTTCTCATCAATAGTGTGCAAAGAAAGGAAAAGCTATAATGCTCTACAAACGCAGAAAGCAGTTACTAAAGAAATGCCGAGTTGAGGAAAAAAAGCTTTTAACATTTCTAGAATAACTAGATAAACTTTGTAGCTTTCCATTTACCATCTGTTAATAATTACCCTGAAAGCAATATAATGCCATGATGGATTGAGGTACTACCTTATTTATGTTGTATATCGAACTGAATTCAATATAACCAAAATGTTAGTTCATCGGAATGAATATATTTCAGTTAAAGGAAGCAGCTAATGGGAAATTGTATGCAAATTTAGCTTTAGCCAAGGCTAGCTGCGGCTGTCTCACCATCTAGGTTTAACCGGATCTGGCTCTCTTGCTTTTGCTGTGTGCAGTTGACTGTTTGTTTGTTTTAGTTGTCTGTTGTATTAACTCTACATTTAAGATACTGTTTTCTTTTGAATTGTAAACTTGACATGAAACACCAAAAACGAAATCAGAATCTGCTCTTGATAAAATTTAGTAGTACTGTTTGTTGTTTCTGTGCTTTGGCTTTGCTGGGCAGTATAGACCTTCCGTCCAGATCTTTAGATTTATTAGAGAAAAAGTCAGTTTTTAATTGTTTCATACCCTCATCTTTCCATTTCTGACAGCAGCCCCATCCTCCGCTAGTCTCAACACATACAGGTCCATGTTGTACTCCCGTCCACCTCTAAGGCTGAAGCCGAAACCTTTACTGTCACGCTCGAGGTCCACAGAGTAGAACTCGGCATCCTGTGAGATAGAAAAGAAGCGATAAAGAGAAAGTCACAGAGAGACCAGAGAGGAGGAGTGACTAATCCATGGTGCACAGGGGAGTCAAAAGGTGAGTCCACACGTCAGGACTAATCAAGCCATGTCCCACAAAAACTCACAAAATGTCAATGGCAGTACAATACCTCGGAATGCATGAATAATTAATGCCGCGTGAGCCTGTGAGCAGGGTACAGATCACTAAGCAAGGGCAGCACAAGGGCTGGACCCAAAACTTACCATACTCCTCAAAAGTTCCCTCCCAAGAGAAGTATGGTCTCCCCCACAATCCTTTTCTCTAGTTCTCACAGGTCCAGAGCTTTACTCAAAATTAAGCTTCTGACTCACATTTGAATGTCAGATTTCACTGATACCGTGGAACCTTTACTTTAAGATCAACAAAAGAGGTCAATTCAAGTAAGGAGTAAGGAAAACCATGCTAATCTTGCTATCTGTGAAACTTAAGGATTTACTATTTGTTGACTTATGCTTTTTTTCTCTTCTGGTAAACACTGGTTATCTTAATTGCAGTGGGACTGAGCTTGTCTAAATCTATGATGCTTTCATACTTAACGTACACTTTCCTAACTCTACTGTGTCAGAGTGCGCAAGTGTAGCTATCCCTGCATATATGTTATGTATGCAGATATTTGCAGTGCCGACATTGGATGTTCATTTCGTCAGTAAGCTTCATCAGATTTGCTGCTCAGACGGTTGAATAGCTGTGTCCAACAACTTGTGTAACTCTCCGAAACCAACAATTTGACGTTGACACCCTCTTCTCGTTGTGATTGACCATAATTGAACTTCTATATCTAGTTCTCTTTTTACATTCTTTACACAATATTTCTGTCACTATGAAAGACTAATGCGCGCCATTATTTGACAACTCAGATAAAAAAAAAAGGCTTTACATAGACTTATGATCAGTAGTGTTCAGCTGTTTATTGCTATAGTCTGTGTTATGATACGTGACTGATAGTTGGTAACGTTTGTATTGATGTAAAACCCAGATGATCATTAGTCATGTGAGTGTAGTGAAAACGTCTTTTCTTACCTGTGTTGTCTGAGTTTGTGTGGGTGGAGGAGGAGGTGCTCCTTTCGACTTTGAGTTATTCCTTTGAAAAAGAGAAACTCATATGAAGACACACAGTGCTGCGTTTTAAGAATATTTTCTAGAAAGAGAGTTGGATTTGTGCTTGTTTAAAAATAAAAAAAATAAAAAATTACGCATCATCACCTACCGTAACTCTGTGGACTGTTGAGGTGTATGTGTGGTGGTGATGGTAGCTATCTTCTCAGCATTGGTCAGCAGAGAAGCATTGGAAGATTCTGGAAAGAAACGGAGAAAAATAAAATAAAAAAAAATAAAAGAAACCACAAAACTAGAAATGACTGCTTTTGTTAAACGCATTTGCCTGTAGCCGTTTTCAAAAGACACTCTGGAGAACAAAATGTTACTGTCCAGAAGAGTCCCCTGAACCGCCCGCAGGCTACTCTATTCAACCTGATGCTAACTGCCTGTGATGTTGTCATTTGCCATTTGCTCATGGACAACACTGGCCCGACTGCACAAAAAAAAACTGCAGTAAAGAAAAAAACAAAAAAAAAAAACAACAACAACAACTCATGACTTGCATCATTGTTTCATCTGCTATTCCAGGAAGGGAAAAATACAAAGACAACTGTCTTTTCGTGCCTTTCTTTAATTCCATATTATCACCAGCAAGAAAACTGCAGCACACATTAGCTTCCACTGACACTGGCAGGAGTACAGTTCTGCCAGTTTCCCCTCGTTACTAGAAAAGATATGACCTCTTCTCGGCACCGCGTCTTTCTGAGGTGAACAGCCTTCTACAACCTCACACATCTTTTTGTGAAATCTGAAATGAGAATAAGGTGGACTAATAAATGCCATCATTTCAATTTTATAAGGCCATGACATGTTTTCTACTGGGAAACCTTGCATTGGCATACAGATACACAAGCCTCTGAGTTAGAGTGTGTGTGTGTGTGTGTGTGAGTGAGAGTGTGTGTGAGAGAGAGTGTGTGTGTGTGTGAAAGAGGGAGAGCGAGTGAGTGTGATCTCACCTCTCTCACCTCCAGCCTTATTTAGCTTCAATTTCTGTTTCTATGGAAGATAGTGCTGCATAGCTCTGCTCAGTGTTCATTGGTTGACAAGTGGCTCAGTTAGTAACAGGCCCCCCTTGTTACAGCATTTGACATTTTTCCCAAAATGTGGAGCTTTGGATCAAAAACTGTGGAAGATTTAAAATGCCCAAATATGCACAGTACAAATAAGGTTAAGTGCAGTACACATTATTTTCTTTTTATGTATGCTGCCATCAGTGACACTAAACCTTTGAGTCATGCCCCAAAGCTGTGATTGGACAGTTGACTATTTTTCATTTTGGCATGGACAATGTGTCTTCATTTAAAAAAACAATAAAAAGCCCCCTTGCACCTCCTCATGAAAACCAATGACAGTGCTTTGCATTTAATATTGGCAGGTCTATTCTGTTCTCTGCTGGACAACACTGAAATGTAATGAACCTCTTCACTTTTTTTTAAATTATGATTTGGTTGTGATTTGATTTTAATGCGGCAACATTAATGGATTGTCAACATGTCCATGGTGTTCCCTGCCTTTTGCCCAATATCAGCTGGGACAGGCTCCAAATAAGTGCCATATAGCATATCTTTTTCATTTAATTATAACACAGTAAATGCATAGATAAAACTGAACTACATATAACAATGTGCAGTGTATTTAACTCTATTTCTTAGTCTGGTTTGTTTTTATTTAGGCATTTCAGATCTTCTGCAATAACCAGCTTGTGCTGAGATATTATGCAATTCTATTTCCTTCCCTGAACTAAACCGAAAAGATAAACACCAACAGGAAGCACTTGATTAAATGTGAGCAGTGTTTATAATCCTTTCTAACTTACAAAATATTGCAAATGGCAAGTTATCTAGCAAAGAAAATAAACAAAAAAAAAAAAAACAGAGAGGAGAGAGAAGACTTATGGAAGTACCACAGTAGTTTCTGGGGGCAACTTCACCTTACTCCTACTCGGTGACTCACTCTCCGAGATACCAAGGTTCACACCCTGATGAAAAGTGGTCTTGCCTGTGAAAAGCAGCAGTGCCCTTTTCTTCCCACCATATCCATGAATAAGTCACATCATGCTGCATTATGAAACAGCCATGTGAGGCTGGAAGCCAAAAGCCTTACCATCACCAGGGATGATCCTGAGCGAGACTGTGTTCCCGGCTTCCTTGATCAGGTTGACAATGTCCGAGTGTGACTTGTTGGTGATGGAGCAGCCGTTGACAGCCAATATTCGGTCCCCGACTTTCAGCTTCCCGCAGCGGTCCGCCGGGCTGCCCTCAATGATGCGGCCTATTTTGTGGGGCATGGCCACACAAGCATTTCCAGCTTTTGTATTAACATATGTGTTTGTTTGCATGTATATTTAGTGTTTTAGAAGTAGAGGTGTGGTGGTGATTTGATTGACGAGATTATTTGTTTGTTATATTGATTTATATTCAATAAGAAGGAAAGGACAGAAAGGAAACACGGAGAAAAAGAAGAGAAGAAAGATTAATTATCCACAATCACCATATCCCAGAGAAAACCAATAAGTTGTGTGCACATCCTACATTAACATGTCGCAGTCAGCACACATGCAAAAATACTACATGCGTCAGAAAGGAGGAGGAAAAACAGTGTAATGTCAAAACCTAAATTCATGGGCTCTTTGGGAATATGCAGAAGATGTTCTCTACCCCCATCGTCTGACGTGCTAATCAATGGACTGAATCATATGCCACTGGTCAGAGCCTTCTGTGACTAATGCTTGACAGCCTATCAATACACTGGTCATAGCATCATGACTGCCACCCCCCTTAACACATACCTCCCTGCCTATGATCAATGAGCACACAGTCGTTGGTGCAGTTTGCACCGTTCAGGAAGATGAGCTGTGGGATCTTGGCCAGCTCAGAAAATTGTGAGGATTTGTAAAAAAGGAGCACTCTGTTGATTGTTGTGAGATGTGAGGCCTATAGCCTATATATGGTGCTTATCGTGGTCAATGCGAGCACTGCAAGTCATACAATCTGCAGCTGAGTGACAGTGTTCAATACTGCACATCTTGTTTACACAGAAGCCCTGAACGCACCCTCAGGATCTCCAGTTCTCCTCGCCTTCCCTCCATCTCACACCCTTCATCTCTGCTCCTCCTTGTGCTCCCCCTTCCATCCGGTTCTTTTTGCAGCATCCATATTTATTACATCACCTTACTTCACAGCTACTCTGCCTCTGTCTTGATTGAAAAACGTACTTGTATCCTGTCACTCCGTCTAAATAATGAGATATGGAACATTACAGGGTGTGGCAAGCTCCCAGGATTTAATACCTAATCTGCTAAGCACAACACCGACCCCAGGTCATAGTAGGATGGGATGAGAGGGGGATGGGCCCTGCTGGACTGGAGCAAAATGGTTTATGTATCCGTGGTGTATGGGAGATTGAATCAGCTGAAAATGCTTTACCTTTCCAAGACCTAAAAAACATTTAGTACTCCTGGAAGAATCCTCAGTGCCGTGTACTTAATTTATTTATTTCTTTTGGTAATACACATTCCTCTGTCAGATTTCAGCTCATATCCCACATGGTAGGAATACGTAAGGAGAGTGAGTGTAGGATGCTTCAGCACATGAAAGCTCAAAGTCCATTCATCTCATCCTCCCGAGAGGAATAGTGACGGAGCAGAGCAGGGGAACGCGGTTCGGCAGCAGCAAAAACAAGAACCTCAACAGTCTAGAAGACGTTTAGACACGGTTGTTGACTAGCACTGTCACTGGTGTCACTATAAATAATACATTAATTTTCTTGCATTGCATTTTGCAGAGCAACACCATTAGCCCATGGGATCAATGAAATTTTCCCTGGGCAGTCAGCGTCTCATCCATTCTTGTGTTTTGCCTGTGACACACCACAGTACATCATCATAATGGCTAACTATACAAGGGACCTTGGAATGACATTGTTGTTGGAAATTCATCACTCGGAGGTTAATACCAAATTTGTTCGAGGACAACATCTACAATTACTCATCAATGCCTGAGCAACTTTAATTCATGCAATTCTGCTGTTTTTGCAGTAATGCGTAAACGGTATAGACAGCTATGGACTGTGCTGAGGAGACTCCAATTACATGCTGAATGAATTGGTGGGGGCAGCTGTGAGGCATGAATCTGTGATGATGGTGTTTGTGATAAAGCTGTAGCCAGCCTGATCCCGAGGGGGTGCGTTCAGCACGCGAAGAGATTTCTTTATCCCCAAGCTCATGGCAGTGGGTTTTTGACCTCGGTCTGTGGCACTAAGTGAACTCCTGTCAAACGCCACTGGCCTGCTATTCATAAAGTGGAGGAAACTCAATGAGGAGTAACTGTAAAAATACTGTAATTCTGCCAGGAGATGGCATCAGTCATTTCTCTCAGTGGTGCATTTATGAACTCTGTGGACGTGTGTCTTGAGTCTGGAGTATGTGTTGGAGACTGGTGCTGTTTTAATGCGCCAGCTCTCAGGTTTTTTTTAGATTAAATTGCTTTGGGTATCTGCAGGTCTTGAAAAATCTTTAAAAAACTTTTGAATTTAGTTTCATGATTTAAAAAAAAAAAAGGCATTACAAGAGAGTAAAAACTCTCACTCTTAAATTTAATTTTCAAAAGTCTTGAATATTTTCTCTTACCTGCCTTAGGTAGAAATGGGGGTTATAAAATGTTTCTGTATCTGATTGCAAGCTTTCATAAGACATTATATGGCTATAAACTAAAATGGGATTGTATCCAAAGGTAACTGTGCGCGCAGGATGCTGCTCAATCCTTTTTAGTGGAGTTTCGGTCAGCACCATTAGAAGTAGAGAAAGTATTACAGTGGCTATAGGAAGCTCATTGTCTCATTATGGGTAAATGCTAATTTTATCATAAAATTATATTAGTTAATAATTTTTACTTTGTGTGGGATATAAAGATAAATCATTCTTGGTTTTCCATCCTACGTTAGTATGATTTTGAAGCAAGCATTGAATTCTCTGTGGTATTAAAAAGCTGTTAGAAAGTTTTACATTTAACTTGGTGAACCCTGACAGATCCCTATGGTAAATGTTAAATGGTGTTATATTTTAAGTTATTTGTTCATGCTGCTTACAGATAGTAAATTAATCACAGGGAAAAATAATGATCTATAGAAACATGCACCAATACAGATTACAAATGCCCAAACAATCAAACTGTTGAGTCAGATTAAAGTCTAAATTGAACCATGATATCCTTTGAAGTCAAACAGAGTCAACCCATAGTAAACAAAACAAATTCTCATGTCACACTGGATAAAAGATCCTGTCAATCTCAGCTAGCTCCAGCTCCATCTCTGCCTCACTTACCAAAGGTGGTGCCAGCGTCAGGCCTGGAAACAGATGACACAATGACGAAACCGAAGCCCTCGTTCTCTCCGCGCTGGATCTCCACGTCGTACGGCTGCAGGGAGGCAGGCACCACCGCACTCCCGCTGCCACCTCCGCCGCCGCTGCCTATGCCACTGGTAGATCCGCTGCCAGAGCTGACAGTGTTGAGCGAGTTCTGGCTCCCCTGGGGGGTCCGCTTGCCCTCTGTCAGACTAGGTGCCTGGGTGCTGCTGTGGTGGGAGGAGGCCGGTGATGGAGGGACGTCACCTTCTCCTTTTGACACTGAGGATGCGGAGGAAGAGAACAGACTGGTTAGACAAGTACCACAATGTATTTCTACAACTTTTCATGAAAGTATTCATGTCAGGAAAAGCAAACAGTGTACGTTTTGTTGCTGTAACATGCCTGTGACCGAGCATGACACATGTATGATCACACATGCACACGTTTTATGTAAACCTGTCATCACCTCCGTATCCGGGGCTCTTGCGTCTGACAGTGAGGTTGACATGGCCCTGTTTGGCAGCCTGCTGCATCAGCTGCACCACCAGCTGGTGAGACTTGCCCACCACCGCCGTGCCGTCCACACAGATGAGCTCATCGCCCGACCGCAGGCGCCCGTCCTCATCTGCTGCCCCGTACTTCACTATGTGCCCGATGTAGATCTGGAAAAGGCGAGCACACACAATGCATGATTGTATTATGCTTTATAGTTATGATATTATGGCTCAGTGTGACTTATCTCCTTCTCAGTTTAAATGAGTCTGAGTCTGTTAAACACAGCAGCGTTTCAGAGACTATTGTTGCATTACTTTATGGTGTTTGTGGCTGACATTCTGAGAAACCGAGAGGGCCAGTGCAGCCTACTGGGACCATGCAGAAGCTTGTGTGCTTTAGGCATTGTGTGGGAGTGTACACACAGCTCTGACAGAAACAAGCACCCAACTACTGTCTTTGGCACAAACAACAAGCGCCAACTCCTGTGGGGTAGACCTGAAGCCTGCTGCTATTTTATTTCCCTCTGTTCCTCAATATCTGCCTTCCACTCCCCCCCTTACTCCCTCCTTTTAAGACAAATATATGGCGCACAACCAGAAGGATTGGTGGGTAAGGCTTTTTGCCTCTCTTAACAAGCTGTCTATATGATCCTCCAGAGAGCAACAGCTCCAGTTAGAGAGAGAGTGAGGGGTTAGGAGTTTGTGCTACTCTGTTTTAAAGGTGGCACTAAACAGAAAAGCAGGAGGAAAAAGGAAAGACAAACAAAATCAACAAAACAAGTACACTAAGAAGAAGGACAGAGCATTCGGAGATCAGCAGTAGTATGGATGAGGTGTAAGATTGTGTATGTATACTTTAATCTATGAATTCATCAGCTGTTTCAATAAACTATTGATGAGATTCAAAGGTGGGGGGATACTTACAGGCTCCCCGGGCTCATTTCCTCCCAGGATGCGAAAGCCGAAGCCTGTATCCTTCCGCCAAAGGAAAATGTCCTGCTCCTGGCAATCTGGCACTGAAATACACAAGAGGAACCGTGAGAAGACCCCATGGAGATCAACCACCAAACCGCCCATAGACCTGACTGATTAACATCTTTGTCGGCTAATCAGTGAATGCTTGCTCTCTAATCAACAAGTTCAGTCCTGTTTTGTCTAATTATAACAAATCCATGTCCAGTTGTGTTATCGCTGATCAATAAGGTATTTGCTTTTCTATTAGTGTCAGAATGAGAGCGGGCAAGATCAACAGCTGTTCCTTGCCTCGCCTCAGCCCTGCCTTGTTGAGCAGATTGGCTTCTTGTTCTCACGTGACGTCACGAGACCACAAACTAGGCTACAAAGTCTCATGCTGTGACCTTGTCATACTGCAATCGGAAATGTTACTCAATGTTGATCCCTATTATTGGCCTAAATTTATAACCAAACCATTCGTACACGCATCGATTTGAAGCATCTTTCTCCTGCTTACAATCTCACACTCACACTGACACACACACACACACACACATTTGCATCTCGCCATGGACAGAGCAGACTGTGGAGGAGGACACAGGCAATTTGGTGTCAGTCTGTTCAGCCCACAGGGCCAGTCCGCACAGGAGGCGCAGGCCATTTCTTCCTGCACTGCCTGCTGTCTGCACGCCTGCCACGCAAGGCTAGTAGTGAACCCATTAGCTTCAGCTCTCCGGTTCCCCCGATAACTCGCTCGGTGTGATTTAAACTGCTGCGGCTAGACTTGTAATTAACCCTCTGCTGACCCGTGTCTATAGAGTAGTGATCAAAGTAAACTAACAGTAAGAGGAGCAGCTGTGTGCTGCATCATGGGACAGGTGACATCAAGCGTTGAGGGAAGCAAAATTCCCGAAAGGCTCACCTTTCAGTCATACTGTCCTGACACTGAAATATTGCTCTTCTAGTGCCTCTCATTGGATGCATGGATGCAACTACTCACAAATTCAAGAGTGTATGTGGCAGCATGCACATGAATACCCATGAAAATACAGACCCAGAATCTGGGCCTCTTTGTCATTCTTTGTCTCATTCTCCCTTTCTTGTTTCATTGTGTCTCCCCCTCCTCCCCCTCTGACACAAAAAGGGGCTGCAGCTCCTTCAGGGGTTATCAAACAGATATACCAATCAGCCGCAGCTTAAAGCAGCCCTCTACGGGCCCAGTTAATATTTAATCAGCAACAGTCCTAGATTCTACAGGCAGCCATGATTATTAACCAACACTGCAACGCACGGCATGAGCACGACCCGCACGTCTGGCTTGCAACAGTCACAAGTGTGCAACAAACTAACACAGCAGTCCTCCCATAGAGATTACCTCTCTACAATCACAATGAAATCTTTTACAGCATAGAATCGTATTTCACAGCATATAGAGACCTAGTCTCCTCTTAATTATCACCACCAGTACGAGTACAGGAGGTCTGAAAGATGTAATTCAGCCAGAAGAGGAGAGTGAGCCAGTTATATTGGAGGATCCATCCTCCCTCTCAGAATCTCCTCAGAAAATAAGTGGTTCGACACCCTTACTGTGGTTCCCTATGAATAATGCAAGAATAGGCCATGACTGCAAATGATATTGAGGAGTTTTACAGAGAGGCTGCCTACTTTTTGGTGTTCCAGTTTTGTGTTTTGGATACTCTGTAGTTCCAGTGACTAAACAGTGTGTGAGACAAGCTGTTTGGCTGCTGATAATGTCAGTGTGGTCAGTTTTAAACTTCAAAGCAAAGTGGTTTAAAAGGTGAACTGTTGGTTGTCCCTCCATACTGGATGCTGTGCACACATACAGTACGTGCTGTTCTTTGTATTCCTTTCAGTAGAAATGCTGGCAAAAAACTGTGTGTGCGTATGACTCTCTCTCACTCTTACTCTTACTCTCACACACACACACACACACACACACACACACACACACACACACACACACACACACACACACACACACACACACACACACACACACCTTTTGTCACTAGATAAGTTAAACTCCGTAAGCACACAATTGTTTAGCAAACACAAAAAAGGCATTAACAGACGCAAATGCACACACACAGAGAGAGATGTGCCCTGTGGTCATCACACTGAGCAGTGAACACTGAAGTTTTCACTTCATCAAAAAAGGTCTGACTATTCAATCAGTGGATATAATAGTTCAAAGAAATCAGCCTAGCAGTTATCTGTTGAAACACATTTTGCCTGACCTCTATGTCTAATCCCAAAACCATTCAGTAGACCTTTTAAAAAACACAAAGAGCTTACTATAAATGCAGAAGAAATAACAGAACGACAGAACGACAGAACACATTCACACGTTCAGAAGGTTAAACGCTCTTAAACTATTAAGTCAGCAAAACCCTGAAATTCTTAAAATAAGATAGAACTGGATTCTACTCACGTCGGCTCTCGTACATGCTCCTGGACTGCGCCCAGATCTTAAAGGGGTCTGGTTTCTTCTGAAGGGTGAGGGTGCCATCTGCAGGGTCCTGAGGGGGCAGGCCTGGCAGAGGCTGGGTGGGGGCAGCAGGAGTGGGAGCCACAGCCTCACTGGGCATGGCAGAGGGTGGGTGGCTTGGAGAATCGGTGTGGGTGCTGCGATGGCTGCACACACTGTGCTGGGAGCTGCTCTGGCTGTCTTTCCTCTCTAACTGGTGCTGGGTGGACAGAAATCAGAGAGAGGTGTATGTGTGTGTGAAGGATGGGGGTGGATATAAGCAGGAGATGGAGGTAGAGGGCAGACAGAGGAGAAAAAAAGTGAGAGTGATAAGTGAGTCAGTGATAAGGGCGAGATAGAGTGGAAAAGAGATGAGTGAGAAAAGTGTTGATGGAGGACAAAGAAAGAAAAAGCAACCAAGGTCATCTTTTTTAGACATTGCAGTAGAACATCTCTCACTAAAACGTCTGCAGGAGTGTGAGGAGAAATGACTTGGTTTCCATGGTTGCCAGACAAAGACGTGAAATGTGAGGGAATTTTAGTGAATAAAGATATTGCCTTTATAAATCCCATGAATCTTTGTTTATTGCACAAGGTCCAGTCCATGAAAAGGTTGACTTCAATTGAGGCAGAAATGTGTAAAATCAGTTTTGAAATCCAAGCTGTAAAATCTCAACAGCAGAGAAGAATCCTGGTGGGTAGGAGTGAAGTGTTGTGAGGATTAACTGACATTGCTTGAAATAATACGCTGTTTTAACATTGAATTAAAAAGAAAATGATTTAACGCTGAAAATATTCACTGTGCATGAAAAACACCTCATTCATTTGAATGAGGCCGGTCTCACCACACACCGAGGATGCCAATGTAGCGGTTCCGGTGTGGTGTCGAAGACTGTTCCCCTATCAATGTGTGTTTCCTCTTCCCTAAATCTGAACCAAACATTAACCCTAACCCCAAACAGTCATCTTATGAGCTGCTTAACTGCACCCCAACGCTGCACTAACCCTCACCTGTTATTTATGCCACGATGTAACATGAGCCCAAACCCCAACCACTGATGGGGGTGCTACGGGAAACACTATTTTAACAAGAGGAGAAACACTATTCGAAGGGGAAACAGACTTTGACAAAAGACCAGCAAAGAAATTGGCTAGATTTTTTGCTGAATTACAGCGTCAAATGGCAAAACACTGTGGTGAACGGGCAAAATTCCTGTTAGATTACTTTGTGGTGTTACTTTTTCAAAAAGAAAAATCAAGTTTGGACAAATTCAAACTGGCACCTGATTTGTTTTGGAACATAATTCACAAGCAGCCTTATCTTTGTAATTTTGCCATCGACAGTGAAGAAGCCAACTTACTTCCACACACTGCTTCTCAGATACTTTGGTCTGGTGATTATCCGAACAGCATGGCTTTGCTTGCTAGTGTCTTCCTTCATTTTTACTCATTGCTTAGTTTAATGATAGGTCAACAGGGCATGCAATAGGTCAAATTGGACTACAAAGCAAATTAGTTCAAACGCTCCAGAGTAACCTTAGACTGTAGTGGACTGTAATATTAGAATTCACACAGGTCATTTCAGTTTAGATATTTGATTTTTGCCTACATTTTAACTAATGTTTGCATTTTGAATAAAAAGTGACGGCCCTGTTTACCTTGTGGTTATTGCAACGAAAGATAAAATAACTGCCGTTGTGATTGCTTTTGAATTGTTGTGAAAGTTTTGCCTTCAACTTCACAGATCTGAGAGTTGAACTGGACCCACTGAATCATTGTGTCTAGTGCCTGAATACACACACCCTCACTAATAAAGCCTCCTGCGTTCTAATGCAGTGCTATTTTTGGTTCTGCTTGGACAATATATAAAACACCATGATTTTTTTATGGCCTATTATTGTTCTGCTAGGTACTTTTCTGTCATCTTTGTATTCTGATTCTGCAACCACTCGATATACATATTACCATAATTATTTTTTGCTGATGCACATTATAAAACCTTAAAAAAAATAGCCTCACTGAGAAAATGCAATTACTGACAGTGAGAAAGCACTAACAACAACTGAATCATTTTCTGTCTGATGTGAATAATAGACGAGTGCATGAAATGATAGAGAAGTCATGGCACTGTCTCCCACTGTCTCACTCATCACACCGAACGAGATGAAGGGTTAAATATCCCAGTAATGCTTCTTAATGAGGACAACAGCCATGCAGAATTTGATCACTGGAGACTTGCTTAATGGGTTGAGACAGCACAGTCTCTCTTGCATATGGGAGTTTACTGTGAGCATCTATTTAGATTCTGAACTGGAGGCAAAATGGTTGTTCTGGGTTGACACGAAGTCGCATGCAGCGTGACATTTCACTGACAACACAGAGAGGGAAAAACTGGCTTTTCCTCAGTAGAAAGCTAATCCAAAGTGACAGTCAGGCAAGACCACTATTGGTCCCACCCGACCCCCTAAAAGCACCCACCCCTCCTCCATCCATCGCGCCATGTGACCTGAATAGGTGACAACCCCAGCTCTGACTGATACCATTTCAAACTAATCCTAATCCAAATATCCAGCCAGCTGAGGGAAGGGCTTTTAATGTTGATCAAGAGACACAGGACAAGGTTTGTTTTTTTTTTTTTTTTTTTTTTTTTTTACACTCAAGTGGTGGGAGTTGAACCCATTACTGACCTTGGACGAGTCTGTCCAGAGGAAACGTCCTTCTACTATAACTCGCCGGCTCTCCAAGGGTGAAATAGGGTGACAGTAATTTAAAGCTGCACTGGCATCTCTTCTGAGCCTGTATTGATTTTTTTATCAGTTGAGATGAGTCGTAAAAACGAGAGGGCGTTTGCTCTTTAAACTCCTGAATAACTGCAACTGAGAGACCCCCCACGCTACTCACAGATCTGGTCTTTCTCCCCTCTTTCCCCATTCCTCTCTTATCCATCACAACTACGAGTCACATTGCAATCTGTTGCAATATCTCCTCCAGCTTTCCCAATCTCCCTCTTCTTTGCTTCCAGCCCCCTCTGTCATCATTGCGCCTTTCTCCCTGTCTGTTAGCCTCTGTGCGTCCTCTGTATCTGTGGGCTATCATAGTGACTAACTGCTGTTAGACAAACCATCTCCACACTGGTCTTCCCCTCTGTCATCCTCATCCCTTTCTCCCATTTTTGCTTCATGCCTCTCTCTCCCATCATCCCTCAGCTGTGGCTGTCTGCCCTCTTCAACAGCTGGTCACTGTTACACTGTTCTGCCTAGGCTAAGCTTAATCAGTCACAGGATGGCAGCGTGGCAGGAGCGGAGGGATGTAGAGCGAAAGAGAGAGGATGTAAAACAAAGAAATTGCAACACAGGCAAGAGAAGGAAAAGGAAAACGATCAAAAAGAAAGAAGAATTTAGCAAAAGTCAAAGTGGCAGACTGTGAAAGAAGTCAAGAGGAACAGTGACAGCAGGATAAAATGGGAAGATTTCTGAAGCTCTGGGTGCAGACTAGTAGAGCAAGAGTTAGTTATCATATCTCCGTTTCTTTTGTTCTTTAAATAGCGCTCCTTTCACTCAGTATAGCGTACATGCACACGCACAAAAGAGCTGAAGATCATAGTACTCACCACCAGCTTCGGACTCCTCTTGGCTGGTACCACTCCTGCAAAACATCGGCAGAGAGACAGAGAGAGCATTAATGACCTGCGGTGCTCTTCCCTTGTCCCCTCTGATCAAAAACTCCCCAGGACGAACGGATGGACCCTTGGCTCCTGCTGCAGAGCAGAACGCAACTGGCCCAGCTCTCTCTCCTCCTCCTCCTCTTCCTCCTCCTCTCTGTTGCTTTCTCTCTCTGAGCAACACACTGCGCTAGGCTGCTCGCTAATCTAAGTGATCTCCCCCCCGTGCTGTATCCCGCTCCACTCGGCGCTCTCACCCGTGCTATTAGAAGAGGAGCACCTGATCTATCTGCATTAGACAGGCTGACTGATGCTGCAGCCCGGACTGCTGGTCCAAGCTACAGGTTCCCCCCCAGTCTGCTCGCCAGCTGTCTCCAGCACAACCTCTCCGGCAGAATCTCAACCGAGAAGGAGCTCAACAGCTTGAGCTTCATATCAAAGGAAAGCCTGAGCTTCTGCCTTACAATGCACATCTTCTGAGTAACTTGAGCAGTTTCCTCTCCTCTCCACTCCTCTGCTTTGCTCAAGGCTTACATTGAGATCTTCTCTCCCTGCCCTTTTTTTTTCTCTTGTTCCCTCCCCCTCTTCTTCTTCCATACACTGTATCTTGCTCTCCCTCTATTTGTCTCTATCTCCCTCTCTCTTATATACCAGTTAACATACTGTAGAGAGTCACCAAAGAAGATCAATCTCATTTGTGCTAATGAAATATTAATACTTGGAGCCAGTTGTCGGGAGAGGATTCACAGCATACCGGTGTAGGGAATAATCCACATTCCCAATTAACTCATTTTTTGTCCACCTTCATCACAACCCAGGAGTTCATTCATTGTGTAGGTTTCTCTACATCACACATACAGTATTAACACCCCGCCATTCATTCAGACTCAACCTGATTATTTACCACACACATGGAGAGAATGCACTGCTTTCCAAGAAATGTCCTTTCCCTTCCTGAAGCTGTTTTTCCTGCCACTCACAACAGTATGTTGAGACAAAAATAGACAAATGAATGTGCGAACAACATGAGGCAGGATTGGGACAAAGTTACTGTTGCCAAGGCAATCAAGTAGTTCTGTATACACTGGCAGCAGTCTACTTTGTTAAATATGAGGAGCGAGCAGCAGCAACAGTACACCACATTTACATTAATTCCCAACCTTTGATCCATTACAGCCTCATTCGCCTTCATTTCTGCTATTGAGACCGATGAAAAGACATTATTTCCTACCCAGCATGCACAGGGAAAAACCTACTGGAGGTATTAATGGAAGGTTCAAGCGACATTAACACATGCAACAACATGCAAGCATCCATCTTAGGTTCTTTCTGCTGCATTGGCAAAAAATCATTAAATGTTAAAACTCTCTGTTGCTGCAAAGCCCCTCTCTCTACATGATTCATAATTTATCCTCTCTGTTTTCCCTCCCTCTCTCTCTCTCCCTCTCTCTCTCTCTTAGATTACGGGGTGCCAGTTACTGGAGCAAGTGGAACATCTCAGGTGCTGACGTTGTGATGAATGTTTTTGTGTGTGTGTGTGTGTGTGTGTGTGTGTCTCTGACCCAGGAAGGACACACATCAGAAGGTCAGATGTCAATAATAAGTGTTTCCCATTACAACAGCAGGTTATGTGACCCTGGGACCCTAAATTACACAGTGTAGAAGGCTGACAGAAACCTTTCACTTTGAAACAACCTCCAAAAATCCTCAAACTCGCGACGAGGTCAACATAATTAGCATTAAGTGTATAGAATTTGAATTTAACTATAGCCATATGGTTAATAAATTTGAGTGTGGAACTGAAGGGGAATTAAGATTCAAGAAATTGATGTAGTTTGACCCCATCTCTACATTAATCCACTATGGCTTGTGTCAGCAAGAACAGCTGATTTACAAGCTGCACGGTGTGAATGCATCTTCATTCATGATGTAGTCTTTAAATCTGCTTAACGTACTCAGGCGTTGTGATGCCGATGCATACGTGTAACTCGGAGTTGATCGAATCTGGCTGGATGTAACATTTATGAGCAACAGAGGCTCGGTGAAAGAAATATAGGAATTGCATGTTCCTGCACACACGCAACTCTGCAGAAGCATCCATATATGCATGCATGTTATACATATGTAATATCAGCACAGGCAGGTACGCAAGAAGGTGAGTTTTCATTTATACACAGAAGCTGCATTTACTAGCGCACACACACACACACACACACACACACACACACACACACACACACACACACACACACACACACACAAATACACACAGCAGCAGTATTATATTATGCAGCGGTGCCATAATCCTGATATTTTTTACTCTGCTGAAGCTGCTGAATGACGGTAAAGCTCTGCTCAACAGAACGCTGCTCCATTTTAAAAGACTGAACTGATCACTAAGAATACAACACAGGCTTAAAAGGCCTGATTTTATTATTACCCAAGGCAACCTTTTACCAGAATGACTAAGACTGTGTCCATTATCATTCAAATGAAGGGGAAGTAAACAAATTGTAAGTGAAAGAGAGTGCTGTCAGCTGTATGCTGACCTAACCTAGCTCTGAGCATCAGTGTGGAGGAGGCTGCTTCCTCTACTTCTTTTACAGTAGACACTGAAATATGCCCATAACAACTAGCACAATTACAAAGAAGTATGCTAATGGCCACACACGCACGCACGCACGCACGCACACACACACACACACACACACACACACACACACACACACACACACACACACACACTCACACACTAAGAGAACACAATCTTATTATCAGTCAGCAGTATATGAGCACATGCCCAATCACTGTTTCTGCTGAGTAGTTTGTATAATTTGTGTACAAGCAAGGACTGGAGATAAAGGGCTGGGTAAGACCAAAACTACTCTCACAAAGATTGAATTTCAGAAATCAAACATGCAAACACTTTCTTTCACTGGTGAGCAGCAGCACCGGAGCCCAAGTTTCAATAATACTCAGGAAAATGGGCACAATGAATGGCCCAGTGTTCCAATATACTGCTGAAACTGTGGCCTTGGTGAGTCTACAAAGAGCCCACACATGTGAACACATTCCTCAAGGTTTTTAATATACATTGTTAGAGGGCGTACAACATGAGTAATGTTCCATTTTGTTGAGTAAACATTTGTCCTTGCTCTACTAATAAGATTGTCTTATTATCCACTTCTCTTTATCTCTTCACCTACTCTAAATTGCTCTTCCTCATTGTCTGTTATCATCACATTTCATTCCTCTACCTTCATTTCCTCTATGTTTTTACTTCCCTTCCCTCTGTCTTTTCATTTTCTCTCTTCTTTCTCTGTCTCTCAGGGGACAGGAGTGCTGTGCACGATTGTCATGGCAACAACGATGGGAAGACAAGATGGAGGAGTCATGGCTGGCCTGGCCTCCTTTTACAGGAGAGGATACTGTATGTGAGAACACCAGATGTTATCTTTAAAATTTTATTGGAAAATAACATGTCTTAAGACCGGAAAGCACAAGGTAGTGATACATTGTTTTAGCTCGTAGATATTCACACAGTGCAAATTTACTAAATGACTGAATCCTGCATATCACACTTGCTGAACACATAGCGCTCCACTGCAGATGATGGTTAATAAAGGCTAAGCCAGAGAAGTGTTTAATAAATATATATTTCCAAATGTGAGACCTTTCAGAATTTGTAGTTCAAATTATAAAAGGTTTGAAAATACCTATTTGGCTTGTACTTCTGTCACTACACTTTACACTGTTTCTCTCATTACCACAACAACCTATTCTATCTCTTGTCTATTTCCATTGCATAAATTACATGTTGCTATTCTCCCTTCTTCTAGGTTTTCGATGACCACAGAATTGAAACTAGAGAGACCGCGTATGGGGAAATCCAATAGCCAAAATGTGGCTGTGTTCATTTGAGTTGCACTCTGCTGCCATAGCACGGAGCATTAAGGTAATGGCACAATGCACTACAGCCCTTCTCAAAATGACGTTACAAAAACATTTGAATTTATTTTGACACTTTTTCTGACACTGTTCAGTTGAAGGCATTGCTGCCTCCTGGGCAATAAGAGTAAACTGTTGAACTGGTGGAGTTTTATAAAAGAGGTTTCTCTCAATTTGTCATGCATGTCTGAAAATACATCTTAGAAAGAAACACAAAAAAGGATCCTTCGAAATGTCAGTAACACTGTTAGTGACATTTCGAAGGATATGTCTATAATCTTAACATTCATTTTGCATGAATGCGACTTTTGTGACACAACTCAATCTACTGAAAACCAGAGCCAGCCCAAGCCTTTATGGGGCCCTAAGCAGAATTTGATTTGGCCAAAGGCGTAGGTTTGGTCTCAACATTGGTAGGGCCGCAACAACCCAGCCACTTCTCCAAAACAAAGGGATTGACTTTTTAATGCTATCAACCAAACAGTTTATTCACATATAAGATCTGAATTTCCCTTCAGAAATGCCCATACGCAAATGTAATTTGCAACATTTGTTGAATCTCCATATATGACATGTATGTACATATAAAGTAAAATCATATATGGAGATATAGTATTATTAGGGTTTATATTATATGCATATGTTAGATAAATAAAAAAAGACTGTCCTTATATGTTCATTATACATGTAAATATAAAAGATAGACATGTATGGTTAAATTTGATTTTGATTGAAACTATTAAGAAAATCATATGCGAAAAAATATTTTAATAAGCATGTTGTTTTAATAAAGTTGCATTTTACTAGTATTTCATATGTTATATACTTATATATTCATGTATCCAGAGTATGTATCTACTGTATGTCATAATAATATATCCTCTTATAGATTACATATATGGTAACATCACTCATAGGGACAAATATGTTATACATATATATGTCATGAGTCATAGTACAGTAATTAATAAAAACTCATAATATAGTAAGGTGTTATATTCCCCCTCCATTCCCGAATCTAGTTGTGTGTTGTAGG